TCATTGCTCGGTTTTCTTTCTCCATTGCTTCGTTTTCTTCTTCATGCTCGAGTTATCTCCCTCTTAGATCAAGTTTTCGATACATGTTGTGCCTTTTTCCTCAGTAGGGTGCTTGGTTGTAGCTTGTATGTGCATTTGTAAGTAATTCTCTTAAATTCATTTTTCTAATTGATTCAATTCCCTGTTTCTTAAAATGAATTTGAATTCTTCGATTTTAAAATTGAGATTATGGCGTTTTGCCGTCAATTGTTCTTTTATATCCATATTTTGTTACTTCGGGTTATTATTTGCACGATAAAGTTTTTGGGGTTACTAACTTCTACTTCATTCGTATTTCAAGATTATATGGGTTTCAATCAGAAGATGTTAAATTATTTGGGTTTGATTTGAAGGGTGCCTTTATTGGTCGATCAATGGATTCTGATCTTGAAATTGATAAAGAAATTCTTCGAATGAAACTGTTGGAGGGTGTAAATAATTGTGATTATGTAAATTTGCGATTATGTAGAGTTGAATCAGCCCATTAATTTTAAGAGATTAATGTCATGGTGTTAGTTATACTTGCTTTTTATATATAATATATTTCTAATAAGGAAATTCCCTATTAATGTTGATAAAAAAAACATGAAATGGATCTAACAGTGAAATCCAAATTAAACCTAAAATGTATAATCCAAAGTCCCGTACACATAAATAGTAGTTCAATGAAATTAGTATTTGAGTTTGAAATTATACTAAAACAATCATTTGGATTTGATGACTTTAATTTCAATTGGAAGATTGTAAATTTAAAATGTATAAGGTAGGATCCAAAATTGAAGCCCAAACTATCTATCTGATGTTGAGACCACTGAATACTGTGAATAGCCAAACTAAAAGATTTTGGTGGGTTTGTGGTTCCTCATTCTCACAAAACCAAAGTGGTTTAGGACTTTAGACTGACGACAACATACCAAACTGTGTTCATCTACAACTGTAACAAAATCATTGGCACCAGTGTTGGTTGATGGTTGGAACAAATGTGAATGATTTGGTGGTCAATAATGAAGATGTTTAAAAATTGATCTACTATTATTACTCACCCTTGCTTTGAATTACATATATGTTGGCGCAATAGTTGTTTCGAATGGCATATTGGCTTGAGATGTGGATGTTATTCAAGAAGCTTAATCTGCCTTTTACTGTTGTTTTCAATATGTGAAACCATGTGATTCACATATGAACTATATGTTAACCCGTTAGTTAATTCACATGTGAACTATTTAACTTATTCGTATATGAATCAATTAAATAGTGTATATATAAGGACCGTGTTTATACACACACACACACACACACACATATATATATATATATATATATATATATATAGGGGTGAAATCATGTGAAAACAAAGATTGAGGACTTAATCCATGGCTATGAAAGGTAATGACATTTTTGTGATATTTTTTAATTTTGAAACTAACTATTAGATAAATAGCAAGTTGAAATGTTCATTTAGGCATTTGACATCCAATTTATAGTCAACAATAATGGCTACATTTTGTGGTTGTCTTGGGATTAGTCGGTTCGCATAGTAGGTTGGATATTCAGGTTAATAAAAAAACAATAATGGCTATAAAATTATATTAATTAAAATAAAATTTTAAATAAAAAATATGTTAATTAGAATGAACTTTTTAATCAAAAAAATTACATAAAAAATGAACGTTTTATTTTCTTTAATTTGACACGAGTATCATTATTTTTTTACATTTTTTTAATTTCTACATGAAACAATAAAAGTTATTTTAACTCGTATGTTGTTTTACCATGTGAATCAGCATAGCACATTGTTTCATATTAGCAACATTGTGTTGTTTCACAATGTAAAACAACATTTTGGTGTTTTTCTCAAATTGTGAAAGAATACTACATTGTTTTTCTCAAATTGTGAAAGAACACTACATTGTTTCACCTTATGAAACAACAGTTTATTGTGTAATATTAGCGGCATTAATTATATATGTCGTTTCACAATATAAAAGAATACTCTAATGTTTTACTTTCACATTCACATCATATTTCATATCAACTTTGTTTTGTTTTCATATTGTCAAACAATATTAATTTTGTTTTTCTTTAACGATATTGTATTACTTCATTACGTAAAATAATTTGGTGTTTCGATGGTGATGTTTTAATTACATTTTATTACTATATTTTTTCTCTCATGTAATGTTCTTATTATAATTTAAAATAGTCAAATATATTTTATAAATATGTTACCCGTAAATAATGTAACTAGTACAAAAATGGGTGTTTGTGATGGTTTTAATAAACTAGGTTTGTAACGGTTTGATAGAAAACCGTTGCAAAAAATGACAAAAAAAAAAAGAGTTAAACGAATTGTTTTAGTAACAATTGTTATAAAAAAAACGTTACTATAAACAAACACCTAGAAGCATAAAGCAATGGTTTAGATAAAAACGTTAATAAAAGGGCCCCTAAGGTAACAATTTATGGCAGTTTTTAAAAACCATTGCTTTATGTTGTGACGGTTTTTAAAAATCGTTGCCATGTAAGACCATTTAGTAATGGTTTTTCTCTAAACCGTTGCTCTATGTCGTAACGGTTTTAAAAAACGTTACCAAAACTAAAATAAATCTAGCAATGTTTATTTGGAAACCATTTCCAAAAGTTACCAAGTTATATGGCAACAGTTTTGAAATTTTGTGTCACCAAAACATATTGTATGGCAAGGGTTTTTGAATGATTTACATCACCATATGTCATGCTTTTGTAACGGTATTAAAACATTCACGATATCTCAAGCTACATTGACGTTTTTGAATGATTACGTCACCATATTTCATGCTATGCTGACGGTTTTGAAAAATAAATGTCACCATACGTCATGCTATGGTGACAGTTTTGAAACATAAACGTTATGCAATGGTGACTGTTTTGAAATAAAAAAGTCACCCTATGTCATGTTATAGTGATGTTTTCAAATAATAATGTCGATGTATGTCATGCTAAGGTGATGATTTTAAATAATGAATGTCACTGTATGTCATCCTATGGTGATATTTTTGAAAAATGAACATCACCCTATGTCATGCTACAGTGACACTTTTGAAATTTAAATGCTACTGTATGTCGTTACGGCAACGGTGATGAATGATAAATGTCAAAGTATTTAATGTTATTGTGAAAATTTTGAATGATGAACGTCATCGTATGTCATTTAAAATGACGATTTGATTAAGTTATGTCACCTTATATCATGATGCAGTGACTGTTTTGATAAATTTATGTCACCGTATGTCATTTTACAGTGATGTTTCGGAATAATAAATGTCATTATGTGTTATGCTAATATTACAGTTTGAGATAAGAAATGTCACCGTATGCCATATTTCGGTGACAGTTTTGAAAAATAAATGTCACTGTTTGTCATAATTCAGTGACGGTTTTGAGAAATTAATGTCATTGTTTGTCAAGATACGGTCAAGGTTAAGGATTTTATGTCATATATCATGATACAGTCAAAGTCTTCAGAAATTTAAGTCATCATATATCATATGTAGTAATGGTGGGCACAAAATGATTCAAAAAACCCATTTGGTTCAAGCTTCGGGTTGACATGTTATTTTTAAAAAATAAACGTCACCATACGTCTTACTACAGTAACAATTTTGAAAAATAAACGTCACCATACGTCCTACTATGGTAATGGTTCAAAAAAATGTCACCAGATGTAACAATTCATCCCACATGGATAAAAGATGAGAATTGTTAGCTCCTTATAAGTTTCAAAGTAGTGGATTACCAATAATTTCCACCATGGTTGTAAGTTGGATTCGAAGTTATTGGGTAAGTCCGTTGCTTTGTGCTTTGGGGGTATTACAAATGGTATCAGAGCCGATCCTTGTACCATCGGGATGGTGGGCAAACCTCATTGAGTAGGATGAGTCCTCAAGAGGGGATGTTTGTGGGCGAATCCCACATTGAGTATGATGTTACAGTGACTATTTCAAGAAATAAACGACACTGTACGTCATGCTATGGTGACAATATTAAATAATGAATATCACTATATGTTATACTAAGATGACGTTTTAATAAATTAATGTTACCGTATGTCATGCTGTGGTGACGGTTTTAATAATAAATGTCACTGTATGTTGTGTTACAGTAACGGTTTTAGAAAAAAAACGAATTTTTTGTACATTTAATGTGACGGTTTTAGCCTAGGGTAACGGTTTTTGATGTGATCTGATAACGTTTTTTAATCGTAACCAAAAATGTATCAAAAGTGACGGCAGCTACGGTGATGATTTTTGTGTCCACAAAAACCGTTTACCGTATACCTACGGTGATGATTTTTAACCTTCACTTAAGACCATATTTGTACTTGTGTGTGTATGTGATAAAATAAACGAGTGAAAATGAAATTGATTATACAATAACTAATGAAATATAAAAAGATTATTATCAATTAAATAAAAATTAAAATATCTTATTGTTATATATAAAGTACATCATTGAATTATACAAAATAATACTTTATTTTAAATTTTGATATCTATAAAAAGAGGGAAGTGAAAAATAATCAAGAAAAGAAAATTACCAGCATATCCTCCCTTAATTATAGATGAAAAAGGTTGTTAAATTAGAATGATTAGATGGTTGATACCGGTTCTCAACCTTTTTGTGGTTATATATATATATATATATATATATATATATATATATATATATACATCCTT